ACTACGAAAACAAATGCACCTAAAACAAAAAGCTGCAATATATTACAGAATTACTTGAGGTAAACCATGCATATGCTGAAGCCAGTGAGTACCATCTAAACCATATTTGTATTCAGTGATAGCCAGCTATCAAGAGAACTTAAGCACCTTAGTATTCATGTTCTGTATGTGCTTCAAACTGATTTTATATCTTTAAATAAGACGGTGAGGACTGCTGTAAGATACACTCATGTGCTGATATGAAACATGAATTTCTTGGTTCAAGAAATTCAGAATTAACATAAAAATCTTAAAATTATAGCAACATCCTTATTATTATCCATTTATCATACATGATTAAACAGCTTAGTTTAATCCAGAGATTATGTACATTATTCCTATACATCAAAAAACACTTGGCAACCATTTATATTAATTTAATGAATGCAAAAATCTATTTTTAAGTAATTTAGGCATTTTAAGAAATTAGAAAGGTGTACACTATTGTTAGTACATAATTGGAATTATTATTAATTTAAAAATACTATATTAACATGTTAAATAATTCAAATTCAATGTGAATTTGAAGAATAAAACTAATATTTGATGGATGGACTGGTTAACTTTTTGATATCTGACACTATTCTTCATTAAGGTTTCCACTCATTTTTACTTCGTCTGGAAGATTTTCACATGTGTCAAACATTCAAAGGAATGTTACTGAAATAGTACATGCCATTCATCTTGCCATTTGTAGAATACTGAAAATCGACATGGAAGACTTCTCATTTCACTTTTTCTGATCTTAATGCTTACTACTAGAACCATAAACTCAACCACCTTTGAAGAACTTCTCATACATCACCAGACAAGGGAGATATGCCACATGTTACACATCACATATTTTCTGTGTATGTTCATGATATACTTCTCTACAGTAAAAATAAACCGTAACTGCATATTTTTCTGGGAGTATTGTCATGTTAAAAATGATTCAGCAAGATTTTATAGTCAATAAATGCTACAAAACTATAAAAATCTCAACTGGCAGCGTACATGAGGCCCAAACTTGCAGTGTTGAGAGAGTATATGGCATTGATGAAGAGCATACTCTTTATCTGCCATGAGTTTGGTGCACTTGTTTTGAGTATGGCATAATATACCTGCCATGAACATTCTCACAAAACTTGGCTTCAGGTTCTTGAACTCATTTTGAGGAGAACTTCATGATAAAGGAGATGCCGCAGTACTCATAGATTTTATATCTAATGAATAACTCGTGAAATGTTTCTCAACACCAGTCTTCTCTGATGTCTTAAATTAGTCTCTCTTCTGGTGGTGGTTTCATCATATTGCCCATCTCCACCCGGGGACTATAAAACTCCTAAAGAAAAGGAAACATAATATTACTTGCTAATACACTATGAATGAAAAAACCTAATTTTTTTCTGAATAGTAAAATGCTGAATACAGTTAACCTTCCTGTTCTAAAACAAAGAAAATCAAAGAGCACTGTAACATTCACACCATAGTGGCTCCATATACACTCAAACACTTGCAGGGGTTGCTCAGTCATGCAACCCTTGATTATCAAAAATAACAATAAATGCCCATCTTCCAGTCATCTTTGATCATTCACTCATTGGCTTGATATCTGAAAGATGTGAAACTTTTTTAAAGCCTGCAGTCTTGCAAAGAAAATTAGGAGAAAATAGATGTTTACAAATTTTCACAACACTAATTATACTGTGCATCATAAAAGATATTAAACTGATTGATTATCAAATAACTGAATCTACTGTATCTGCTCCTTCTGCACCTTTGTAAAGGTTTCATATTTGCTTAGTACAAATGAATCAAACAATTTTTATATTTTTGTCTTTCAAATCAGAGAATTTAATTTTCATTTTATTCATTTAAGGCATTAATTTTTTGTATAAAAGTTGGTTTGTGATATATTTAGTGCTCTGATTTTTGGTAAAAATGTCAAGAAACATAAGATTTTTTGTTAATTTTGCAGTGGGTTTTACTGGTTTCAAATGGCCTGCAAAGAGTTTTTACATATGGTCCTTTGGAGGATGTGTAGTATTTGTCTTTTTTTTTTTTTTTTTTTTTTTAAGAAATTTGCCTAAAAGTTTGTTTTTAATGCAATATTATGCTTTTAGTTTGGATTACATGTACATTTACACATTTTTCAAGAGATTTTTTTATATAGAAATATACACAAATATGAAGTACAGTTTATCAGTCTTGCAGTTGGAAGCATATAAAGCTTAAGAAGTTTCACTGGCTTTCAACTAGACTGATCCCAAAGTTGCAGATTGAGCTATGAGGAAAAGCTCAAGGAATTGAACTGTCACTAGAGGAGTGAAGGGTCAAGGTGTATATGATCATGATATTCAATATACTCAGGCACAATGACAGCGGAACACGACAAAGTCTGACAAGTAAAGCTGAACACCCAAATAAGAGACAGGAATGTTATGAAGTACATTTTCAAGTTATGGATATCAAGAGTAGAACAAGCTAAACGAAGAGATGGTAGAAGCATACTACATTCATAGAGTCACAAAGATACATGATAATGATAAAAAGAAAGGTCAGGCAGTGTCCAGAGCTTTTGAGTTTCACTAGAGAAGGAATGATTATTTTAGTAAGCACAAGCATATGTAAATAGGATTTTACCTTACATCTTGATTAATCGGGCCATGGTGTTAAAATTTTGAGGGGGAAAACAATAACCTACTGTATCTCTTAAAATAAATTTATAGAAAACAATTCTTGGCCAACAAACTTGCTCACATTTCTTTACATTTATTTATTTATTTTTTATTTGGACATGATACATAGTTGTACAAAGAAATATAGTGATTAGGTGTACATGCCAAAAGCCCCGTGTATGCAGAGCATACATAACCAATTACACTTCACAAGACTTACCAGTTGGCACTGTACATTTTTATGAGGCACTCAATAAAAGTGCTACTCAAAACACAACTCAAAAATCCAAACACATGTAATCACAAGCTAAAACTCAAATAGGCAATTACAGGCAATTTAGTGTTTGGAATAAAAAAAAGTGATAAGAGAAGCAAAAAGTCACCTAATATGGAATAGAATCTCAACTGAACATGCAAGCTGAGTGCTACAAGGATCCATTCTGGGGTCAACCACATATATAATCTACATCAATGATATTGCCCAAAAATATTAAATATTATCAAATTCATTTGACAATATTAAGATCTATGGAAGGGTTATAGCTGAGGATATTACTTTCAAGTAAAGTGACTTACTATACAGAAACTTAACAAATGGTTAAGAAAGTGACAAATGCTATTAATAAACAAAAAAATGCAAGATACTTTGTGTAATATACAACAATGCACAGTACAGTTACCTTACTGAAAGTTCTGCTTGTTACCTACAGGGGAAAAAAAAACTAATGTCATAATCCTTCAGTTACTAGGAACATCACAGCACCTAGGAGCATCCATGTAAAAAAAATGACTACCACACTCTGAATAATCAAATGCACCTCTGAGTACAGTATAAGGTACTGGTATTCAGATTAACACTTTGTATACCCTCACCTTGACAGTATTCAACCATGGATAGTGATAAAAATCATAAATTCAGCCAGGTTACCAGGATAGACTGAGGACTACTGAACTGACAACTCTTCAGACAAAACCTGAGGAGGCTGAGTTTTGACACATGCAATATGGACATTATAAACCCCAATCATTTCTTAAAACTCTAATGTGGCATGTAAAAATTTCAGGACCTAGTGTTCTACAATTTTTTTAGTAACAGAATGTAGAAATTACCTGTCTACTTGGAGAATACGTTCCCCTTGTCTGTCGTTTCTTTTTAGCCATCATCAGGAAAACGGTGAGGCCAACAACGGCAATTATTAGCATGAGTCCAACTACACAACCTACAATGATGGCCAGGTCCACATCCACAGTAAAGACTTTCCTCTGAAATTCGGTGAATAACAGAAATTGTAATTATTAAGGATCTTTATAAAGCTGCTATTATACAGGAATATAAATTCATATATTGTACATGAAATTTAATGTAAAACAAATTTAAAATTCTGCACTTACTTCTGTGGTGCAGTACTCTCCAATCCAGTTATCAGAGCAGCGGCAAAAGGCATGAGTTTTGTTGTGATGTTCTATATCCTCATCACAGAGGTGAACACAGACTCCTCCATTGCTACAGTTAACCTAAAAGAACACATCAACCATATATGAAAATTTTTTCAAAATAAAAATATACTTCCACAGCTAAAATTTGAATAAAATTATATATAGCAAAAATTTAATTTATGTTCAATGAGATTTTTCACAGCTTTAATTATAATTGCTTTTTATTGCTGTATGACCATTGTTTACCTGGAGTTTACCTGGAGAGAGTTCCGGGGGTCAACGCCCCCGCGGCCCGGTCTGTGACCAGGCCTCCTGGTGGATCAGAGCCTGATCAACCAGGCTGTTACTGCTGGCTGCATGCAAACCAACGTATGAGCCACAGCCCGGCTGATCAGGAACCGACTTTAGGTGCTTGTCCAGTGCCAGCTTGAAGACTGCCAGGGGTCTGTTGGTAATCCCCCTTATGTATGCTGGGAGGCAGTTGAACAGTCTCGGGCCCCTGACACTTATTGTATGGTCTCTTAACGTGCTAGTGACACCCCTGCTTTTCATTGGGGGGATGTTGCATCGTCTGCCAAGTCATTTGCTTTCGTAGTGAGTGATTTTCGTGTGCAAGTTCGGTACTAGTCCCTCTAGGATTTTCCAGGTGTATATAATCATGTATCTCTCCCGCCTGCGTTCCAGGGAATACAGGTTCAGGAACCTCAAGCGCTCCCAGTAATTGAGGTGTTTTATCTCCGTTATGCGCGCCGTGAAGGTTCTCTGTACATTTTCTAGGTCAGCAATTTCACCTGCCTTGAAAGGTGCTGTTAGTGTGCAGCAATATTCCAGCCTAGATAGAACAAGTGACCTGAAGAGTGTCATCATGGGCTTGGCATCCCTCGTTTTGAAGGTTCTCATTATCCATCCTGTCATTTTTCTAGCAGATGCGATCGATACAATGTTATGGTCCTTGAAGGTGAGATCCTCCGACATGATCACTCCCAGGTCTTTGACGTTGGTGTTTCGCTCTATTTTGTGGCCAGAATTTGTTTTGTACTCTGATGAAGATTTAATTTCCTCGTGTTTACCATATCTGAGTAATTGAAATTTCTCATCGTTGAACTTCATATTGTTTTCTGCAGCCCACTGAAAGATTTGGTTGATGTCCGCCTGGAGCCTTGCAGTGTCTGCAATGGAAGACACTGTCATGCAGATTCGGGTGTCATCTGCAAAGGAAGACACGGTGTTGTGGCTGACATCCTTGTCTATGTCAGATATGAGGATGAGGAACAGGATGGGAGCGAGTACTGTGCCTTGTGGAACAGAACTTTTCACCGTGCCTGCCTCGGACTTTACTCTGTTGACTACTACTCTCTGTGTTCTGTTAGTGAGGAAATTATAGATCCATCGACCGACTTTTCCTGTTATTCCTTTAGCACGCATTTTGTGCGCTATTACGCCATGGTCACACTTGTCGAAGGCTTTTGCAAAGTCTGTATATATTACATCTGCATTCTTTTTGTCTTCTAGTGCATCTAGGACCTTGTCGTAGTGATCCAATAGTTGAGACAGACAGGAGCGACCTGTTCTAAACCCATGTTGCCCTGTGTTGTAGGTTTAATGCTTATTTATGATTATAATAAATTGCTTTTCATACAGTTTATTTTTCTCCTTGAAGTTAATTTTTCTCTTTCTTCTTCTTGGTTAATGTATACTAGTAATATTGACAGAATTAATGACAACGGATTAGGTAAAAAGACACGTGGGGCTAATGTGAATTTTCTTTTTTAATACACTGGCCATCTCCCACCAAGGTAGGGTGACCCAAAAAAGAAACACTTTCACCATCATTCACACTATCACTGTCTTGCCAGAGGTGCACAGATATGACAATTTAGATGTCACTCTAAACAGGTAATATCCCAAACCCCTCCTTTAGAGTGCAGGCACTGTACCTTCCACCTCCAGAACTAAAGTCCAGCTAACCAGTTTCTCTGAATCCCTTCAAAAAATATTAACCTGCTTACACTCCAACAGCTCATCAAGTCCCATAAAATATTCGTCTCCACTCACTCTTATCTAACATGCTCAAACATTTTACCTAACATAAATTCACTTATTCATTTTCAATATATTCCTTCAGTAAAACTTGTTAACTACATAGTCAATATTTGAGCTTCATAAGTAGAATTTTTTGAGCCAACTGCATTATTACTACCAATATCAAGTCTAGATCATTGTACATAATCCAATAAGTGTACATACTTGTTTGAATTACATTACTTTCTGTACCTAAACTTAAGTTTAGCTCATATATATTTCCCAAATCACATTTCCATTTATTTTAAGTTATAAAATTAGTGATTCATTAGGTGATAGACTAAGTGTGACTAATCAGTATGCCTGCACACAGCATGATTTAGGACGCATGTCTAAATTTGATGGGATATTATCTCTTTGTTTAAGAGGTGAGCTCTAGCTCTTGGTCCTACTTCATTAACTTTCTACAAGGATTAATTATAATACTGCAATTGTTTCAGAATGTAATGCTCCTCAAAACATGGAAATAAGTCACAGTATTTGATTTTACTGGGTTATCCTGGGTTAACCCCTTAACTGTCCAAACGTAGATCTACGTTGTTACTGCCAGCGCTCCAACCGTAGATCATCGTCTTATTTTTCCTAACTCCAAATTTGGCATGAATGGCCTGTGATGCCTGGTCAGCATAGAATGGGTCATAACACTTGGTGTGTATGTGGTACAGTGGAACCTCCACTCACGAGTTTAATCCATTCCGTGACCTTGCTCGCATCTGGATTTGTTCGTTTGCAGTGTCAATATTCCTCAATTGAATTAAATGAATTGCAATTAATCTGTTCCAGTGGAATTCCAAGCATGACAAAATATACTTTAATAATTTCCCTAATATCAACTCTACAGCTTATTTATCTATCACAATTCATCTAATATGACATAATAAACAATATAAATAACATAGAACCCTGATATATACAGGCACTCTAGAATGAATAAAATGTCATTATGTGACAGGTGGAGGTGGCCACAACTGCTCCCACATTGTTGTGGTGATCACTGCCATCTAGTGATGGCCTTTTGAAGCCATCTATTATAATAATTATTATTATATAGTACATTATTATTATACATGTATTATTATTATATATATTATATTATTATTATTTTATTATTATTATATTATATTATTATACTATTATTATTATATGTATTATTATTATTATTATTATTATTATCATTATTATTATTACAATATAAATAATTTGTAATTTTTATTCACATAAAAAATAGAAGATTTACTGTAATGCAGACTACTGCATTATTGTAACAATTGTATAAATAATGTCAACCTATTCATGACTGCATATTAGAATGGACAGTGACATCATTTATTTACTCTTGAACATCGCCAAAGAATCGAACATTTTTGCTACTTTAAACTCAATTTCAAGGTACTTTTCATCATGAAACCAATCAAAATCATATCTATTTCTGTAATATATCTTCCATTCTATCAAATGAGACTAAAAAAAAACGAGAATACAACCATAAAACCCATATGAAAATACAGCTAAGGGGTGGATAATGGCTAAGAAGTGAACTCCATTATTTATGGTCCAAACCATACCAAGGGTGGGGATAGAACCCACCCGTGGTATGGTTTGTTTGCAATTGTGTCATTATGATTTCGTGAGTCATGTTGATGGTCCAATTTCTTTCATTTTTTTGGTGTACGTTAAGATGCATCTTTCCATCATACATTACCCAAATTTCAATAAGATAGTCCAACAAACAAATGAGATCCAATTCCCTAGATCAGGAGCAAGAGCCCCTCACCAGCATCAAGGAACCTCCCTTGAGGCCCGCTCGCTTATGGAAATTTTGCTCGCGTATGGAAGCAAAAAATCGACTGAGCGACTGGTCGTATTTGGAAAAACTCTCACGTGGATACGTTCGCAAGTGGAGGTTCCACTGTATTAAAAACATCTGGGATCACTTAGCACCTTGTGGTAGCACCAGTTCAACTGAGCACCAGCTAGACCAAACAGCTTGGCAAACACCAGGGATTCACTGATGTCATATCCTATTAACACTCCTCTTTTAAGAGGAAAGTGATGTTGACCCCGAGTTTAGTGGCTTTGAGGTGGATGTGGCCACAAGTGGTCAAGGAAATATCAAAAACCTTGATAATAACCCATGTGCAACATCCTTTCAATTTTGGTGCCACTGGTAATGTCATCCTGCCAGAATAATGTGTTTAATAATAATATCTTTATTTACTACAGTACACATGTACATGGTATACAGGCCTAGCTGACAACAGTGACACACTACTATAACTTATGCCGCCCTAAGTAAAGAGAAACAATTCTGGAACGTGTAATATGTGTTCGTCAGGCTGGCTGGCTGGGTGACTGATAGACTTTGGCTCTCTCCATCTATCTGTCTGTCTGTATCTATATCTGTCTCTATCTCTGTCTATCTCTGTTTCTGTCTCCCAGGTACACATAAATACAAATATACATAGTCTAAATTACTTAGGATAACCCCAAAAAATCCAGACAAAGTGCTATACTGTGCTTGTAGATTTTTTTTTTTTTTTCAACAAGTCGGCCGTCTCCCACCGAGGCAGGGTGACCCAAAAAAGAAAGAAAATCCCCAAAAAGAAAATACTTTCATCATCATTCAACACTTTCACCACACAATATCACTGTTTTTGCAGAGGTGCTCAGAATACAACAGTTTAGAAGCATACACATATAAAGATACACAACATATCCCTCCAAACTGCCAGTATCCCAAACCCCTCCTTTAAAGTGTAGGCATTGTACTTCCCATTTCCAGGACTCAAGTCCGACTATATGAAAATAACCGGTTTCCCTGAATCCCTTCACTAAATATTACCCTGCTCACACTCCAACAGATCGTCAGGTCCCAAGTACCATTCGTCTCCATTCACTCCTATCTAACACGCTCACGCACGCTTGCTGGAAGTCCAAGCCCCTTGCCCACAAAACCTCCTTTACCCCCTCTCTCCAACCCTTTCGAGGACGACCCC